CTTTTTCTTACAGCGTTGATCACCTCAATAAACAAAATTCCTTGAGCTCTCTGCAGTCTTCCAAGTTTTATTATAAAAAGCCACGCGAACTCATACAGTTACCTTATAAAATTGCCTCACTGACTTGGAGTTCTTGCTGAACAGGTACGTGGCTGGCTAAAGTGCACGCAAAGTCTTTCCTTGTGCCCCTAGTAATTTGGCCAAATACGGAGAGAGATTGAACTGATTAATTTCACGACTTTAGTTTCCCTGCCCTCGTGTCTCTTTCAGAGGAAGTAATTCTGGCCGAGGATACGACATCGGCAGAGGACCGGATACGCATCATTGCAGGTAAAGTTGAATTTGGAATTGGGAGGTGACCTAGGTTCGCTGCTATTTCAGTGATGGAGAGTTCAAATTAAAATTCTTTACTTTCGAGTTCGTATATGTCAAGTTGCCCTTGGCTATTTCTCACTCTTAATTCAATTTTTTTTCTTGAAACGATTGAATATTTAAACCACTGAGAATTTATATTTAATTTAGAGGTCAGAGAAACTTTAACGAAGTATCCTTATAAAGTAATCTGTTAAGAGTACTGCAGGATGCAACTAAACCAACACCTTAAAAGATGATCGAAATAATTTTTGAGGTGGAGTAGAAAATAACAGCGATAAACCTAACCTATTATGCAAATATTTCCTCCAGCAATTAATAAGACATGGATGAAATGACAATAAAAATCCATTTAACAAATATATCCAGCAATCCAGAAACAGATAAAACAAAAGCAGTTCAATTGGTGATGATTGGTCGGCGTCTTGAGTTAATGTAATGTGCTTTTAAAAGAAAACAATGTGACGTTGAAAAGTTGATACCATTAATTTGATCTCTCATTCATCAAATGTTGTTAGCCTATTGAAGAGAAATTTCCTACATTTCTCATATGTTCTCATCCTGTAATTCTGGCAAAAAATACCCAAACACTTCAATTGCTGTACTTTTCAGCTCGAAGACGAGCTCAGAAGGAGCGGACCAAGAAAAACATCAAAGATCCACAGGGACAGGATTTAAACTTTGAAGACTCTGAACTCTATTCGGATAACAAAGGTACATCCGCGAGATCTTCATTTTCACTCTCCCTCATCATCGGACTTTTATTTTCGTCAACTGCTGTATTATAAATTTCCTCTGCTTTTAGGAAACGTGTTCAATCAACAGGGCTTACTGCTTAAACCGGGCAAAGGACGATTCGAAGCCTGTTGGAGAAATGAAAAGCGATTTCGGTGATTTTTGCAGTTATTTTGCTTTTTAATGCTGCATGAATATGTACATAAGCGTCTAGTGGCACCGATTACCCAAAATTTGTGCTGTTTATTCTGAATACTAATCTTCTATTTTTGACCTCTTTCATTGTTCCTTAAATAAGGACACCTTCATTAGCAAAAATTAGATTTGAGCACGGTGTTGCTAAATGTTTTCCTTGGCTTCTCCTTAGCATATATTGAATTGAGAAGTGTCCGTGCCTATTGACACATCTGGTAGACTTTTTTACTCCAGCATTGATCTAATTTTGGTGGATTTAACTCCTTTTACAAGTTATGCTTACCATGCCTTTAGGTACGCAGTTCGGAGGCTAGCTAAGAGCCAGCTGGCGTATTGGAGCGTGATTGTTTTAGTCTTTCTAAACACCATCTGCGTCGCAATTGAACACTACGGTCAGCCTGCTTGGCTTACTAGTTTTCTATGTGAGTTAAGCGATATTGCTTTTATGCCTCTTTTTCTCGTCCTCGTTGTAATTCCAAAAAAGAGGCTCTTTTCGATGCCTCCATACTAGGTTTCAGGCAGAAGATTTACGGTAGAAAATCAGTACTTCACGCATCCATTTCTTAGACTTAATTACCTCACCTAGGAGTTATCTTCCGTAGCACAAAGGAACATTTGCCGCCTGGTAATTGAGGTAGCGATATCAGCTGCCACAATGGCTGCACTACATTGCTCATTTCGACTGAAAATTTTTAAAATTTTGCGGCTGTTAAGTTGAAGTCTTATCTAAAAGCGCGATGAACAACCTCTGCCATCTCTAACGCCAAATCAATCATCATGCTTTGAGCATTCGGTGATGTTACAATGAAGCAAAATAACAAGGCGCAATAGAAAGTGAGGTAGAACTTTTAAACTGACCAAACTACTGGCTGGAAAAACGCAGCAAAATTTACTTTTGACTATCAGAAAAGTAGATGACACACTGAATCTGATGGGGCGTAGCAAAAGCTGTTCAAGCCACGTCCAATATCAGTAGTGACTTCTAAAGATTAGGAGCACCAATTTAATGGGGGGAAATGGCCTTTTCTGATAGCAGAAGGTACGTGATCTTGCCACATTAGGATAGCACATGGCCACACACAGGATGTGACCGCAAAACATCCATAAATCGGGATAGTCGAGAGGACTTGTTGCACTTGGGGTCCTGTCCGAGATCAAACTGGAATCACGTTTGTTCATAGAAGGCCTGCCATCGGTTTCGTTAGGTGGGTTCGTCACCTGTATTTTTAAGTGGAAAATTGACACAAAAGTAAAGGAATTTCTTAGAATAAAAACAAGATTATCAGCACAATGAATTAGACGCCTGGTGAGTCTGTTTTAATGAAAAATCTAAACGTGGTAGCAGTGATTAGGATTGGTTGTTTGTGTCGATTAATTTATGGGAGAAGTAACGACTGCGTCACGGCGGAACGCAATCAAGAAGTGCCCAAGGGCTGGCAAATACATCCGCCCAGAGGCTCTTTTAATCCTAGCATAGCAACGCCTTGTGGGTATTTTGTGGGCGTTCATAGTCTGCGCCATTATTATCTTGGGGCATCGTTTACCACATCGTAAAGTCCTACAAATTCTTATCAATTATGCAGTCCAGGCAAGCAGTATTTATCCACCCGTTTGGCGGAGACATCAAATTAGGCCAACCGGAGGACGTGGTGTGCTGTTAGATAATATTTAGAAGTTGGAAGAAAGGAGAGAATCGACCTAGCACTCAATCAAGTGGGGAGGGAACCCCAACGTCGTCATAATCGCGCCCAATCTCAGGTTTCGGACAGTCCCCAATCTGGAGCCAGTCTGTTCATTAATGGGGTTATACCGGTGGCTAAAGACCTAGGCTTTGAATTTAGGCGCCATTTTTTTGCTGTAGAAAAAATATAATTTTGTAACTTGGGGCGGTTTTAAATATAACACATCTACTTCCGTAAAGCTCATTTCCTGACCAATCGTTTTAGTTTTGAATTAGCTACAAACTACTCTTCTATTATAATTATATTTTAACTTTTTGAGGTTATTTTTCCAAATAGCTTTAGTTTTGTTGGAAA